GGCAGGAGGCTCCATCAGGATCGATAAGAATTATTAAACTTGAATTTAACAGTTTAATTTATTAAATAAACTGTGAAAAAATTATAGATTGGCAAAATATATTTGAATCTTTTTATGTGAAAAACATTTTCTTTAAATAATCAGTGATTTTATGATATTTACAGATTATTCTTGTTATTCTACATTAAACATGTAAACTCACAGGATATTTTATTAATATAAGAAAAGATGTGTAAATGCAACCAGGACCCAGTGAGTCTGTTATATAATGCCCCCCCCCCCGCTACCGGTGCCGGGCCCCGCTCCCTCAGCAGGGCTCTGCAGGTAAAGCCTCTTGGCTCGGCCTCCGGCAGCAGAGCGCTGCAGCGGGACGGCCTGATCTCATTAGGGAGTTATTTTAGGTGCTCCCTTGATTTTTCCCTCCAGGACCTAAGAGGTTTAGAGAGTCCTGAGGTCTCTGCCTGCAGAGTCACTGCAGCCTGGATGTCGGCCGGCTCCCGCTCCTGAAGCCCGCTGGCCTCGCTGCTTGTTCCCGCCATCGAGCTCTCTGCTGAGTCCTCCACAAGTTCTCGTCTGAGGTCATCTGCTGGTCCTCCTCCGGTCCTCAGGGCGAGCAGAGTCCCTTCCTTTTACTTTGACCGCAGCGATGGGGAACCACGGCTCGAACCTGGACGACATCCTGGCGGAGGACATGCACCACTGGTACAACAAGTTCATGAGAGAGTCTCCGTCGGGCCTCATCACGCTGTTCGAGCTGAAGGCCATCCTGGGCCTGAAGGGCATGACTGAGAACGCCAACAGCTACGTGGACCAGGTCTTCTTAACCTTCGACATGGACGGGGTGCGTCTCTCTCACACACACACACACACACACACACACACACTCACAGAGCTGGGGTCTTCAAAATAAAGGTTCTGAATTAAACACCGTGAGAAATCTGTTATTTTCCGTTTTATCTTCGCCTCTGATTCAGGTTCTGGTTTCACTGGACTGGGACCAGTTTCAACCTCAGTGGAGAACAAACAGTCTGATGTGTTATTCAAAGTGACACAATAAGAAGTGTTGATTCATAATAAGACATAAATAATAAAACATGTTCATGTTCCTCACTTCAGTATTTTCTGATTCTAAAAAGTCTGTTTGAACAGAACTTCAGTATTTCTACTGTACTCGATTACATTTCTCTGACAGCTGTAGTTACTTTTACTGATATTCAACTTACCGGACACATTTTTTACACTATGACAGGAAGAAGATCGTTCACTGGAGGAGAAGCACATAATGTTTTTACTTTATAGTAACATTCATGTAAAAATACTCCATTACAATTAAAGTACACAAGTATTCTCAGCTTTTAAGTATCAGCTGGTAACACTTGTGTACTTTTACTTGTAGTGGAGTATTTTTACATTCAGGCTCCACACATGAGCAACGTGAACGACCTCATTTCACAAACAGATTTAAAGCTTTCAAATAATCTTAAACAGTAACACTGTATAACACTGCTGGCCCCTGGGGGCCCTGTACAGCTCATTAGCTTTCTGATCAAACCCTGATCGAGGTGGTCGAACCGGAACCAGGTCTTGATTGGTTCTGATTAATGATGAAACATCCTCCAGGCTTTAATTATCATTTTAATGTTTAATTTAACTTCAGACTGAGAGACGACCGTTAGCATTGTGGCTAATACAGATACACTGATCAATGCGTCGCTGGATATAAAGTCACAAACAAATCAGTTAATATAAAGTAATATTCTAAAGTTCTAAGCTTTGTCTCTTCTAACAGGAGAGAAGAATAAAATATAGAGTATATTTATAATACATTTATCTTTCTCTGTGGTCAATCAGACCTTAACTTATTAAACAGCTACACTCAATTATTGGCTGCTTGTTTATCAAAAATAACTTAATAATATCTCATGTATATTGTGTAATAATTGGACCTTACAGTAAATTAATTTCATTTTACAGTTTTATTTAGTCGGACTGAGACTTTGAAGTTATGAAATTCTTTTAATTTGAATGGTTGTCTCAGTGTGAATTTGAGTTAGCTGATGTGATTATCTGGGTTGGACAGGTACAGGTGCACTCAGTCAGAGGGGAAGTAGTCTTTAGGTGTCTAACCTTCAGAATAAAAGCACAAACATACAAAGGCTGGGTCCTGCAGCCGCCATTAACACATCTGCAGTTTAAAGGTTAACAAATCTGTTTTAGAACAAGAGACTGAAAGAGTGCTAATCAATCCTCTCACAGCGAAGGACAAGTTCAAGTTCTTCGGTTTGTTGTTCTTCTATATCGTTGATGTTCAAACTAAAACTTAATGGTGAAAAATAATCAATAATTAGGGAGCATTTTCCCCTTTGGTCAGCCCTGTTCTGTTTGCTAGCTAAGATTAAATATATAAAAGTCGGCACAAACCTGTGAAACCTCTACAGTTAAAAATGTTTGCTAATACATTGGAATATTTGTCATTATTAATAACGTTGGATATGAGATCTCACTTTGGATATGTAGCTATTGGTTCATGGAACTATTGATTAGTCCATCAACAGAAATCTGTTTGCACAGTTGAGTCATTTTCCTGATAAATTACAGACAAAATGATGAATTGATAGTTGATGGTGGATTAATTGACAAATGGAATATTATTTTTTATCCCAACAACTCAGATAAACATGTTTTTTTGTGTTTTTATGATAAAAATAACTCAAGGTCCACTGACTGTCTTTTATTTGGAGCTTTTACTGCATCTCATGTTTTTTTTACCTGTGGATGGAGTTTGCTTTGTCGTCTTAATGTAATGTCATATGATGACTCCACTAACAGATGAAGACCATGAAATGTCAGTCGACCTTGAGTAAAAATGATTTGGTTAAAACTATTTACTCGGATCTCAAGCTTTTATTTTGAAAATTAACCAAAACTTGTATTATTTTAGTGATATTAATGAGAACTATTGAAAATGTGACAAACAGGACATTTTATGAGGTTTTCTGACATCAAACGTTCAATGACGTTGTTGAAATCAGCTTCAGTCTGTGAATCAGGAAAGATGGCTGAAGCAGCACTTTCATTGGCTCTCTGTCTAATTGGCTTTCAGTGTTGGCATGCAGAGCCATTATCCCGCTGTGTGTGTGTGTGTGTTAATGGCGAGATAAGTGGATTCAGAGTGTGTAGCGGTGAAGTTCACTGAGGATGTTCTGAGAGCTGGAAGGACACCAGAGATCACCGGGCTCTGATTGGTTCAAACGCTGGATTGTTCTCACCAATAACTTTTCATGGTCAAACGTTCTGTGTTCAGTTATATTCATATGCAATATATATTCAATATCTTTTGTTGATGATCAGAGGAATCATAATGATGAGATCATATTATTTTATAAAAGATTAATTATGACATGATAGAAAATGTTAGCTTCACTACATTTTAATCACAGTAAATTCGATTTCTTTGGAACAAAATAAGACATTTGAATAGACGTCCTCTTGACTTTTGAGAAACTACATTTTACAATATTGGCAGGAAGGACAAAAGCTAATGATTCCTAAAGTTCAAGTTTCCATAGCAACAAGCCGCTCAGCCGAATTTCTAGACTAAATGTGTCGCAACAGGTCGACACGTCCTGTTTCCAGCTGAGAGATTCGTCAGAATTTGCAGGATACAACCAGAATCCATGCAGTGTTTGCACAATCCAGACATAAGTGCTGCTTTCTCACAATGTCTGCAGACTACTGTACATGTACTTGTGTAACTTCAGGGTCACTCCCAGTGTGGGAACTTTTAGTGCTTTTCTGCTTTGAATCTGTACTCAGATGATCTGAGGTCAACAGGAACAGAATAACCTTTTTATCCTGAGTTTCTCAAGTCAAACAGAGAAGTGCTGAGAAACCAGAGAAGTGAAAGTGGCAGGAAATTTATAATAATCATCATTAATACCTTCTTTTTAAATGTCTGAACACAAAGCAGCCACACAAGAACTTTGTGTGAATGAATGAAGCCGGACCAAACAACCAGAAATCAGTAAACATACAATTAGACAATTGACGCCAACTTTCCAAACTCTACAGGTTTAATACCCAACTTTAGTTCTGGAAAACTCATCCAGGTTAAAAAAATCTCTTTTCTGTCTGCAGGATGGGTACATCGATTTCGTGGAGTACATCGCAGCCATCAGTCTGATGCTGAAAGGAGAAATCAACCAGAAACTAAAGTGGTACTTCAAACTGTTCGACCAGGACGGCAACGGAAAGATCGACAGGGATGAACTGGAGACCATCTTCTCGGTAACAATTACACAAACAGACCTCACAAAACACATGGGCGCGAGCAGTTTTTATCCCCATGTAGAGCATCATCATCATTATCATCATCATTACTATTATCACTGAAGAACCAGACAAAAGCCTCATCCACAGGCCTTTTCCACCAACACAAAGCTGGCTCTGTTCGGAACCTGATAGCACCAAGGTTTGAAAACCAGAGCTAATGTGGTCAGACAGGATGATCATTACAGGAGGAGGTGGGGAATGAAACCTTTACTTCACACCAGAACATCTGATGTGCTGGTACGAGCTGATGATTGCTTTCTGTGGTCATATTGGTTCCCTGTAGGTCTGTTTTCCAGACAGTGTTTGTGTGGAGTGAATCGAAGAAGTTTAAATTAAAATGGTTGGAAAAGTCGCAGCCACAATCAAAGATGTCATATAAAACACCTGAATCAGATGTTTTATCACAAGGTTTTTGGGGGAGCTGCTGTTCTTTCTCTGGATGTTGAATATTCAGGACAACAGACACATCAGCTGTGTGATTCGGGTGAAAAGTAAATCCCATTGTGGAAAAATATCTTTGATTCTTGATTCTGAAAGGTGTTTCTCTATTTTCTTAAATATTTTTAAAGATGCTGTTAAATGTAAAGACTTTCCCAAACCAAACCAAGAGCTGCTGTTGACATTTCATTGATGATGAACATTTTGTGTCCTGATATGTGAATTAACAACATTTACTCATTATGTTAACTGTCAGCTCAGTTTGCTTCAAAACATATTTACTGTTGCTAATTTGCTGTATATAAATGTAGGCAGGTTTCAGCTGTGTGCACAACAAATTAATACAATTTATACAAACACACATTTTGCAAAGATGCCAAATACTTGAATTTAGAGGAAATGTGTAACCACGGAGGCTCGGGACATCCTGATGGAAATGTGCAAAAGGCCTTTTCTAACTTTAAACAAATGTCAGGGAGTCTCTAGCAGCTCTGAGTGAACGGACTGAATCAGCAGTAGTGACGCCAACAGAAAACTGGGCTGGATTAGCTCTGAAATTAGACGGGTGTTAATCTGCTGAATGAGCTCAATCTATCAGCCGACAGGAAGCTGCTGGAAGTTTGACCCAGTTTAGTCTCAACGTCAAACCAGTCTGAAGGTTGTCAGAGAGTCCAGTCAGCAACGTTTAACCCTCTCTGAAGATTACAGAGGAAATGGAAAACTATTCATATATTTTAGTACTCAGGACAATCAGGACATAATCAAATGTTACAAAGAAACTGGAGAGTGAAATGACTCTTTGATATGTTGAAATGGCAATTTGAATATTTGAATTTAAAATACTGAAATGGAAAATAGAAAAAGAAACCAAAAAACATTAAATAATACTTTCATTTTATCTTTTTAATTTTCACTCATCATTCTGTAATCTTTGAATCATTTCATTAAATAATCATCATTTAGAAATAAGTGAACGGATTCTTAAAGGCTTTAAAAAGGTTTTAAATCTTTAATATTCAGTCAGACTGTGTGTGTCTCCCCCTGCAGGCCATCCAGGACATCACACGGAACAGAGACATCGACCCCGAGGAGATCGTCTCGCTCATATTTGAGAGGATTGACGTGAAGGGAGAAGGTAAAGGACAAGAAAATAATGTGCTGATAGTTAATAGTACTGATGCTAAAGGTTCTGCTACTATAATCACTGCTGCAGGCCAACCCAGTATCAAACCGCAAACCACTCTAAAACTGGACTGACAGATCTGTTAAAATGCTAAATCCGGAAATCATTTTCAACATTACTGCAGTGCTGCCTGAAATTAATGCCAGTACAGGCAGCAATACGGACTGTATCTTATAAAGCACCTTTCTAGTTTTCCGACCACTCAAAGCACTTTTACCCTACAGCCACAGTAACACACATTCATTATTCATTCACATTCACACACTGATGCACAGCAGGAGGAGCCGGGGATCGAACCAACAACCTTCTGATTCCGACCCGCTCTACCTCCTGACCCACAGCCACCCAATGATGAGCGATAGTGGTTGGCTTCGGTCTCACTGAAAAACTCATTGCATTTCTGGTGACTACTTCATAATAAAAGTCAGCTCATGTTGCTCCAGTTAAATGCTTTTAATGTGAAGCTGCAGCAGCAGGAAGTTACTACTGAAGGTCTTCAAGGGAACAAACTCGTTTGAACTAGTCACTTAACGAAACTGAAGTCAGATATCAGTTTTAATGTTTGTACTCAGGACTTCCTGGGGGTACCGGTGCTGAGTGGATCTGGTGAAGTCAAATAACAAATAAAAGTACTCGTTATAACCTCTCGACTGTCTTTTGACCCCTCAGGTGAGTTGACCCTGGAGGAGTTCATCGAGGGAGCCAAAGACCACGATGACATCATGGACATGTTGAAGAAAATGATGGACCTGACGCCGGTGTTAATCATCATCGTGGAGGGCCGGGCAGGATAAGAGCCGGAGGTGCATCAGGACAAAAAAGACTATATAAATAATTATTTTATTAAATTATAATAATAATCACCCCTCACCCCCGTCAAAAAAAGACTTGCCCCCTCCCCTGACCGTCTTCTTGAAGACACCTGAAGATCTGTAGTCCGAGTGAGGCAGCGGAGAAACAACGGACGCTGAGACTGTAAAACTTTGCGATGTGATTGGCCGTTCAGCCTCTGAGCTGCTCCCTCGCCTCCGGGTATCAGGAGGAGAAACAAACTCATTTTTGATATCTGAGGACTTTTGATGATTCTGTTTTCGGAAGGCAACCTTGATCCAAAAATGTTCAAACCCACAGAACTTCATCATATTGATGGTTCCAGTTTCCAAAGATTCCACATATTTCCCGGGTTGGGTGTCGAATCTCAGCAACTCTTGGTACCTGAAAGTGTCCAGAAGTTGTCACTGAACACTTTCTCTGATTGATAATCTTCTTACTCTTTGATCAGATAGAACCTGATTTCTTTCCAAATTTTGCCAACGTTAGACTGTATTTTATCTCGTTTTTGTGCATCTGTTGCTGGTTAGACGTTTAAAATGTAGGGACGTTCAACAGATACAACTTCTGACAGAAAAACATGTTCATATTTTATCCAAAGTAACATAGTGAAACTGTGCTGTCAGCATCAGACATTAGCATCATAACCTTTCATACACAGCTCAGGGCAACAAAGGCTGGCAGTGATTTAATATTAATATAAGTTCTGATATAAATATCTGACAACAACAATAAAGTACATCAAAGAACACTTTTAATAGAACATAAACCTTTTAAACTTCTTGCATAAGAATGAAAAATAAAATAAAAAGCCTTTAAATGTGCAAAAAAAGATCTATAATTTATAAAATATATATAAAATAATTTCTACCCAAACAATAACTCCAGTTATAAACTGTAAAATAACAAAAGTATTTTCCTGTTTCAATCAATCGAATGATATCAATTTTAGACATATGAAGAGTTTAAACGCCATCCTCTTTATTTTAAACGTTCTTCAGCCGATATCTGTCATACTGTGGTACGAATCGATCACTGTTAGAGGTCGGTTAGGTCTCTGTGAGCAGAGCATGCTGGGAGTCTGCAGTGAGCTGCTCTTTGCTCTGAAGCTGCTGATCCTCTTAATGCTGTAAAAGGTTCAGCAGCCGGAGCCGTAATGGAGCAGATCTACCACCACAGAGGAAGAGGTCAAGAGGAAGAGAGATGGGAGGAGGAAGAGGAGGAAGAAGAAATCACCTGAAGGCTCGAAAGAGTTTAAAAGTTTAAAACACAAAAACGGACTCAAACAGAAACACTACTTTTATTAAAACCTACTGAAGGCTTCCAACTTAATCAGAGATAAGGAGGATTCACAGACAAAATAATCCTCGACAACCTGATCCAGACGCTCCTCTGGCACCAGGCCAGTCCAGAGACTCACCAGGCCAATCCAGGCCAATCCAGGCCAATCCAGGTGTGATTCAAACATTCATTTGTTTTCATTTAAAGGATTACAGGTGTTTAAACTGCTTCCATTTTCACATTGGTTTTAATATAAACAAGCAGAAACCATGTTGGGACCAATCAGCAACCTCCTCCGGCTGCAGTTCCTATAACTGCCACTAGAGTCTCCATAAGGTCCCATATCCAAATGTCCAACAGCAGAAACAAACATGTTTACGGCCTTTTGGTCTCTAGAGATTTTAAACTGTACGTTTATACAACTCGCCCCTTTAAATGATATTAAGGTTTAAAGTTATGAATAATTAAAGGTTTGGCTGCTTTGAGTGCCAGGTAACCGCCGTCACAGGTAACCAGGCTTCATTCAGCTCTATCTCTTTACATATGGTTGGTCAGGACAGCTTCACAGAGCCCTACGGGGGGACGTCACCCAGTTTTAATCACTATGGTTCAGACGCGTAACAACATGTACACATTATTTTACAGCATTTAGTTTTGTGCGACTGGTCTCTTATTTTGAAGTTCAAAGGAATATACTGAATGACGTGCGTGATGTAAACCTTTTTACTTTTATACGATGACGTGTGAGACAAGATCAGGACGACGGGGACAACGTCTGCAGAGTGAATCATGAACCTGGTGGTTGGAGAAGAGGAAGAGAGGCCATTTTGTCCTTAAAGCTACGAGCTGGTAGTCATACAGTCAGAGCTAACCTGCAGCTTAGCATCAGAGCTAACAGTTCTTATAGTGCAATAGAGAGATCTCTACAGTCCAACTGTGTTCTGTAAGAGTCCACTTTAACCAATCACGTTTTGTGTTGCCTTATCAATAAAGTTTTTAAACAAGTGTTGTCTTTTATTCAAACTCAACCCGGAGAAAACACAAACAGGATATATTTATGTTTTTATTGGAAAATATAGAACAAACAAACAAACAGCAGATGTGTCTTTCAGCTCTGTTTTAGTCCTCATGCAGTTTTATTAAAAAAACAGGAAGTAGTCACTCCTGGTCGGTGTGTTCCATCAGCTGACAGCGCCTACATTATTCCAGATGTGTGTACGCTCATTATTCGGGCGGAGGTCTGTCCTGAACCTGCTCAAGAGTCTGATCTGATTTACACGTTGATTAAAAGAAGAGCTGGAGACACTCGGCCCCGTCACCAATCCACCAGTTTGAAGAGCCCAAAGTTAAACAAAAGGTTTCCCATCAGTGTGACTTCCTGTCAGTTGTACAGAACAGAAACAGAAACACAAGAGTTGTGGTTGTTCGTTGTGCACAGTCGTCATTGTTCTCTGGATCTCAGACTGTTTAACATTTAGAAATCAGCGGATTATTTTCATTAACAGGCCGGCAGTGTGTCAGCTGACTCAACCCACAGCGGCTGAGCGTCAGCGAGCGGCGTGGAGATGATCAGAAACTGATGCTCCCAAACTTCCTGTATACAATATAATATTCCACAAGAAGAAGAAAATCGGAGCGGGAGCCACACAGAGGGGTTTGGAGAGGTGTGAGTTGTGCTCGAGGGCACGCGGGCAGCAGCTGTTGGGGCTCTAACCCGCGACGTCTCACAGCTGTTTGGGTTTCTCGTCCTGCCGCAGCAGGCTGGCGTACAGACGCAGGAAGGAGTACGAGACGCCCACTGAGCAGTACACCGATGTCGCCAGCAGGGGGAGGAAGGGCAGCCTCTGTTGCCACGGCGACAGAGGGAAGATGATCTCGCAGGCGATCGCAACGGCAACCAGTCCCGCAAGGTAGACGGACTCCAGAGGACGCAGCAGGGACCCCTGACCGCTGAGAGGAGAGAGTCAGTGAGACACAGAGCAAAGCACTCTGGGTATTGGAGTCTTTGTTACTGTCAATGCGTCTGTGAACACCGTCTGACTTCCTGTTGACGTTATTCTTTATAAACACAAACATGGAGTCTGAAACTGCTCGTACAGCTTTTATTTCACAGTGAACCCTCTCAGACATCACGTCCTGCTGGAGGTCTGTGAGGTCAAATAAAAAGTATTATTTAACTTTGATATAGAGCCAATAACAGTGTTTACCTGTACAGTTTCCTCAGAGCAGCAAACGAGAAGATCACAAACATCAGCATCAGAGCCACTTTGATCGGCAGCTCTGAAACACAAACAGCAGGAAGGTCTGAGGACTCAAACACTCAACGAAGACTCTGTCTGTCTGTCTGTCTGTCTGTCTGTACCTGAGGGGGTGAAGATCAGTGGGAACAGCGAGTAATGACCCGTGGTGGTCAGGACCAGGAATATCCCAGCATCCTCTCTGCTCTCCACCGCCAGGATGCTGCAGGGAGAGAAGCACACAGAGCTCTTTGAGAGAACGTCCTCAGTGGGTTCCTCAGGTTCCTGTGGAGCTTCATGTCTCTTACCTGAGGGGCAGGATGGCGATGAGGACAGCCTTCTCGTGGACGTGCCAGCCGAACATGAAGGAGGCCAGAGCGCAGAGCAGCAGGCAGCGCAGAAACCCCCGAGCACCGCGAGGACGCCGCCAGATGGACGCCACGGCCGGCTTCAGAGGGTCAGAGGACAGAGAACGCCGTCAGACATGAAGAGACGCAGATAATCAATATTCCCTCAGTAAAGTCTCACCAGGATGGAGAGCAGAGTGCAGACCAGGGTGACGGAGGGAGAGACGGAGGGGAGGACCGAGTGCTGAAACTCCTGAACCAACCCGCCCGTCATGGAGGCTCGAGGAAGCTCCGCCTCCTCCAGCAGCTTCAGACGAACACCTGAAGCACATAAAGAATCACTTATTCCCCGTGGCCCTCAGAACCACAACGGACTCGTACAGTGAGACAGGAGGAGGAGGAGGCTCACCTAGCACCGCCAGGACTTTGTCCAGCATGTTGTAGAGGGCCCAGATGTTGGGGGCCCAGTAGGCGTGACAGAGGCCCCGCTTAAAGGGGAAGAGACGGGACAGGACCTGAGGGAGCTGACCCTGGAATCAACATCTCTTCATCAGTGACGGGAAACAAACTGCTGTTAGGGAGTTTTATTCTGAAGGGCTTCAGCTGTGAGCGCTCAGCGACACTCACCATGGCGATGAAGGGCCCGAAGGACAGAGCGCACACGGAGACCACGATGGCGCCCAGAGCCATCAGACGGAGCGGACTGAAGCTCCTCCAGTTCACAGAACCATCTGCACAAAGACAGAAAGATATTAAAGTCAATATCTGTGGGTCGGATCTCCATGGAGACACTTTATAGACTTTATAGATCGATTGATCAGGAAGTATTTACAGATCAATAAAGGAAAGACCCCCCAGTGTCGGGCCTACAGGAGCGCCGTACCTTTGTGGTCCTGAGTGAAGCAGTAGCTCCGCAGCAGGTAGATGCCGTACGCCGGCGCCACGTACAGGTAGATGTGCTTCAGGTTGAGCAGGATGGCGAACAGCAGCGCCCCCTGCAGGTGCTGAGACTGTTCAACACAAAGAGGGAAACCATCGCCTTTACTTCATGTTTCAGAGTAAGAGCGTGCGCATTTCAGAGTAAGAGCGTGCGCATTTCAGAGTAAGAGCACGTGTATAAGGGGTCAGATGAACCGGTGGTCACACGGTGGTCTCAGTCTCAGGTGTTTACCTGCAGGTGTTTGGCCACAGACAGCAACAGGAAGCCAAACAAGAAGCCGTTATACTGGAAATGAATATCTGACAGTGTGAAGGACGAATCACGTTCATCAATTTCCTCTCTGATAGCAGACGGCGGCAACAACAACAACAACAACAACAACAACAAGGTGTTTCAACAGGAGAGAATGGATCTGGACCCACGGTGGTTTTTGTGCAGCAGTTAATAGGAAACGTTGTTTAAGAAACATTTATAAGAATCTCTGACAGACTGGTGGTTCTGTTTGTAGTTTTAAATCTAAATCCACAATCATTAAAGAGAAATGAAATGAAAGCTGCTCTGTGGAGTTTTGTTCTGTTCTGTCATTAAACTCATTGTGTGAAACTTTGAGCTCGATAATGTATCTTTAATAAACCAGTGAGGGTTTCATCAGTGGTCTTGTTGTTGCCTCCTGATCCACAACGAACCCAAACATCAAGACTCATTGATCCTCCAGGAGGAGGTTTTCAGTTTAATGTGTGAAGGATACGGTCGACGATGAGGAGGCCGAAGTTCCAGAGCAGCAGAACAGCGAGGACGAAGGACGGGCGGCTCAAAATGTCCCGAGGGCCTTTCTGCTCCTGAACGCACCGGCAGCACCTGCAGGAGAGCAGAGCCAATCAGGATCGAGCTACACTTTGTTGTGATGTTTGTTTAGTGAAACTCAGCCTGAGTTCCTTTAATCGGAGCGCTGCCACTGTGCGTCTGCTGCCCCCTGCTGGCTGAGCACTGAGCAGATGAAGCTGAGAGAGAATATTCAGACTCACTCTCTGACAGCGAAGATGAAAACCAGGTCAGTGAAGATGACCGACAGCCTCTGGAAGAGAACCGTAGCCGGGCTGGCGTAGTTCAGATTCTCCACCACCAGCATGTTTCTGTCGAAGTGCTGAGCCACGTGGGACAGACCGAACTCGAACCAGGCGAACAGCGGAGGGTAGTCCAGAGTCCACTCCGACGTGTTCTACAGCGACAGAATAACAGACACAGAGTCACATTTTATAGTTTAATGAGTTGTATTCTGTTTCTGTCCACTTTAAT